GGACAGCTTTAGCTCGTCTGGGGAGCATTTTCATCTTCCCTGGGATCTAAGTAGACTGCATCCACCCATTTCTCAGAACTCCAAATGCTATCCCATTGCAAGCCAGCCAGCCAGCCATTCAACCTACCTATCCACAGAAATGTCGCCTTCTGATTCCTGGGGCCCCCAAGGGCCAGGATCTGCCATTTAAAGGATATTTCTAGTCCTTCTTGTCACATCTGAGTTTTTGTAAAAGCAATTTCAAACCTAAAGGTACATCTGGGAGGGGTATGTGAAACAGGCAATCACACCCCCTGGAGACTTCAGAGGGGCACGACTGGCCATTTGTACATGATTTTTCCCCCTGACATGACACAATTGGGGGAGGCAGGGTCTGCACTAGGAGCCTATATTAGGCCTGTGGCCAGCACTTCATGCACCTTTCATAAACAAAGAAATTCCATGAAGGAGCCTAAGGGAGGATATTCAACAAGAAAAGGCCTGAGATTTCTGCTGACCAGATATAACTGTTGGAAAATGCCTCCCAACCAAGCATTCTTTTTAATTCCCTTCACCCGGTAAGGGTTTCCTGCATGCCTCTATCCTAGACATGCTAGCTCTCAAACTTTCCCCATTGGTGGTAGTGTAGCTAAGCAGCCACACCATGTACCCAGAGAACCTTCCAAGTGTGTTTGCAAGTGGCTAAGATTGTTCTTTCTTTTCTTCTTTCTCAAGATGGTGAGTGCAGGCTCCACTCAGCTGCTCCTCTTCTTGAAACTTTCCTGTAGTTAGCCATGGCTTAGGCACTGCATGTATATATGTCTGAATGTACCCTTAAAATAATTAGTAAAGTTTTTAACTATGAAACTTCCATACTGCCTGTGTGCCTTGCTTTACTAATCAGTGCTTCCATTTGTGAAATCTGCTAAGGCCTCATTCCCACTATGATTTAAAGAGATTTGCTGATCGGATTATATGTGCCTCGTTCACACTGGAATCAGTTTCTAAACCAAGGCAAATGCAAAAAAAAAATTGCTCTTTCTGAAGATGGATAATTTGCTGGCTCTTTTGAAAAGAATCAATTTGCAAGCGTGTTCAACAAGTGTGAACGAAGGATCTGATCTGCATTACACTGGAGGGAAGGGACTAAAGGCAGAAGGTGAGACTGAGCGTGAATGAGAGGACTCAAGAGGAGTCGGGGCCACTCAGCTGCTCAGCCTCCATTGCTTGAGTGCCCCTTCCTCTCTGCTGGGCAGCTGGACAAAGGAGGAGGGCCCCAGGCA